TTTTGAAGGAGAATGTTTTTGGAGTGAATAAAATTATGAGATTCGTGAACATAAATCTGGCTTAACGTTTTGAATGTGTTTCCTTCAACGTTTTACTAAACAATTAAATTGCAACAATAATGTATTTGTGTTTGTTTTTAGTCTGTAGCATTTGTATTTCGAGAATGTTTCAAACTCTTCTAAATTGTGAAACATAATGTGTTGATTCCATTAAAAAAAATATTTGCCCTGTGACTGAGCTCACTAATATTCATAATTGTAAATAAGTTCTGTTAATCAATGAAGGAAAGATATGTAAATGATATGCAAATTATTATGCAAATTAGCCCCGGCGCTATGCATTTTTTCTGGGGAGAACCCTGCCTTTAATTACTCATCATCACGATTACTAGTAACCGTGTTCAATGTAGAATCGCTCGAAATGAAATGCGATGCGCATGTCATGAAAAGCATTCAACGAATTGTTGACACTTTCCACATGACTGGTATTAAGGAAGAGATTCGCTGCCGCCGTGCTAGTTGGTAATATGTTTTATTTCCGGCTCGTAGCGAGGATGATTATTTTTATAGTGATCCACGAAGCACCACAACATGACGTTCATGTACAATTTTGTATGTAAAATGAGTACGAATAGAGTACATTTTGTCATGATTTTGCTCGGCCAAGTTTTGCAGTGACTACGTTTCGGGCCAAATTGATAAATATCCAATAAAAATGCACATTTACACATTCTTGTGTTTGACTAGACCGGCTAAACCACTGCATGTGCATATGTCCCACATAACGTACTAGGCACATGCAAAGAATGAACGGAATCTGTCCAAGGGATTCTGAGATACAGACACACAGAGACCAAATTATAATTATAAGTCGGCCTTTAAGAAAATATTCAAGCACGGAAGGTACTAACGGAAGGAGCCACAACGCTATTGTTTTAACTTTATCTTATGATCGTTTGTCAATGTTTGTTCACAAACATTGTTGGCGGTCTGCTCCGCTAGGATTGCCCTTATACTTTTGTCGTTTCGTGTGTGTGTCTGTGTGTGATTTCCAGTGTTTTCACGTATTATTTCTTCTGTGATTTTTTTGGCTCGGCTGATTTTGTTCATACTTCACAGGTAGGTCGTACCGTCAGTAATTGAAAAAAAATCCTGGTCCACCACTGCCATTGCAACAGCCAAAAACTGATTTTTGAATACTTTTGCCCCAAATGTATTACCTCCTACCAGTTTTGTAATAGCAGTGTTCAGGGTTTTTATTTTGGCTACGTTGCGCACTGGTAAGATATCACCGACGCAGACGTTGTTACATTGTATCAACATAATCCCAACCCAACTTTGAACTTTGAATGAACTGTAAATGCTGCCTTCATTCTAGAAAATACTATCGCAAAACAGTTGCAAATAATAAATGTAACAGCAGAATACATCCTAGTAATAAACTAAGTGACTTCTAAAGACTAAATGGTTTTTGCGAACTTCGTATACAGGGCCCATTTAGTTATAAACTGACGTTAGCTTCACGTTCATGTCCTACCATGGAAACAGCTAAAAACATGTTGCTTGTTTTTTGAGCGGAGCGGATTGTCAACCAGCCTACCAGCATGTATTGACTATGTCCCGGACTGTTTACTAGTACTTACTTACGCCCACAGCATCGATATGATTTTATATTGCATAGAAAAGAACACTAAATGCAGCTATCCCGGTCAGCAGTCGAATCATCAATTTTCATGATTTATGCAACTGGTATTTCCATCTATTTGCTCAATGGTCTAAACTTTCAAATTGTCAAGTTCGAGAGTGTGTTTTTACGTACAGTGACGCAAACATTCAACAACATGTTGAACATGAAGTGAGCATTGTACAGGAAATGTTTCAGTAAGGAATTGTTATGCATATCAAAATCCTTTATTGGAACAGAACATGTTATATATTCACCAAAAACAACGTTGCCATGTTTCTAGGCTTACAACGAATTGGAAACAAAAGAAATCGTCCTGATTCGTTTCTTGGATAGTAAAAAATTACTGACTTGCAGCCATGCCTGTGCTAGCTGTAACTTGAACTCTTTTGGTCTTCCTCAAATTCTAGATTAGTTCAATTAGAGTTTTAGTCTTGCCAGTTCCAGCTTGTCCCATTAATAAAAAACTGTGTCCATGTATGGCCATGTCTAAACTGGACTGTTATTTTTTGACATTGTGATCGGCACTCAAAGCTCTACTCCACAACACTGATGAAAAGTTATTTTAAAAATTGTTGAATGCTAATAGCAAACCGTTTAATTCACAAATGACTAACTTCAAAATGGAACAAAATTCAAAATAGGAAATTTGGAAAAAAATAGAATGAATATGAGTTGCAGGTGTCAATCAGGCGTCAAAACACGAAAGCAGCTCAGTCAAAAACGGGTTCCTTCAATAATCCTGGACTTTCCCAAAAAACATTACAGTGCTGTTACAGGATGTTAGTTCACTGGAGTCTGCCTAGCATCTGATCACTTATTCAATTGAAACAGATGGTATCAATTACAACTTCCTGTCATTTTGCATATAATGACTTTGAATGTGTAAACTTAAGCTTAATAAGTACTACCAAGGTCATATCTTTAAATAACTAATTGTATGGGTGTCCAATATGGCGACCAATGGCAAAAACATTGTCACACGCATTGTAATACCGGTATTACCGTAATTGGTATAGTACAGGTGTGATGGTTCAAATACCAAAATGGCAACAGTAATAGAAAGACTTCCCTGGCGGCGATGATAAAATACGAACACGGAGCCAACAGATGAGGTTTCAACTGGTACTGGTATTATTATACTCTGCAAACATCAAGTACAATAACGCGGTAAAACTCCACTACTCCAATGACTAGATACTTAAACTCCAATACAATTCAACGAGATCTCAGATCTGAACTCAGTGCTGAACAACTCCCCTATATATGGAGTATATATAAATATGTCTATAAATTTTATTTATTTATTAACACACAACATCCCCCGGAGGGGATGAAAAGGGTTACAAATCAGATATTAGTAAAAGAAAAATAACCACATAAAGAGTAAGGGAACAAAAAGGCATAAAAAAAAAAAAAAAAAAAGATAATAAGTTGAATACAAATAGACCATTACATCAGCATACATAATGAGTTTGGAACTTACTACAAATTTCTAGAATGTTCCATTACCTTCTATTGCCTCCTACAGTGTTCTATTACCTATTCAACCAGTTTCTAAAAAAAATCTAGAATATTCCACCCAGACACAGTACGGTTCTAGAACATTCTCAGTGACACGGAAGTGGTAAATAAGTCGTATGCGACAAACATTGTTATGCAAATTAGCTTTAGTTGAAAATTTGAGTTTTCTCAGCGATATCTAAGTGAATTTGAACCAAAAAGTTATCGGCAAGATTCAGAATACGACTGTGACAGCCACTGAAACGCAATTGAAGGCAAATGAACACGTTAAGCAAAAAAGACTTTCACAAGTTGTGGTAAAATGGAGGTACATACCTTTTTGACTCTTGAGGGGTATAGAAATCAGTTGATTTGAAGGTGTCACAATATGCAAGGGAGTAAATCGTTTTTATGCTATGAAAAAATGCAGAACTTAAACGTACTTTTTGGACTTTAGTACCTAACGTTTTTAGGTTCATTTGCTGCAAGTTACAGAGCACATACCTAAGCGGCCATCCCTCAGCAAATAATGATGCACAGGCATTTTCGATGTCGAAATCGCGAAACCTTTTTACGCAAACTGGGAAGTTCGAATTACTAAACCAAGTAAAGGACGACGAAGATGAAATATCCAAGAACCAACACATACCAACAATTATATCTCAAAAGTGAATATTCGTGGTGTATTTTATATCTAACCGGAGCATAAGTGAAAATCTGTTAGTACTCTAATTATCCAAACTAATTGTCATTGTCATTGTCAATGCTGGTCGCCCGTGTATCCTGTAGTATTTCATTTTTTTACCGTGATATGACTGAAATGAACAAAACTCGCAGACCATTAACAGCCACATAAACCGGCCAACCGACGATTTCTACCGCCGGCCGAGTTCGACGGACGCCTTTGCCTACAAATCCAAGGTCCAAGGGGTGTGACTCAATATTGTGGACTTTCATATCCGGGTTCATGTCATATATACTGTGTGTGGCAACTGATTACTTTTTAGATCTTTCATAGAAGTATGTTTTGTCAAATAATGTCTGATAATATATCAAAAAGGGGCGAAAAGGCTATGCCACGAATAGGCATTCAAGTTGACCGCGAAGTTTCGATAATTTTGATTATCTTACCGGAACTCACGAAGTCTAACTCTTTCATATTCCGAAATTGATCGATAGTTTCTAGGAGGTGGTCCTTTTCTTGCTCCATGGCGATGGCATGTTCTCGTAGTGTTTCTACTCGTTTTTCTACTTGGTCCAGCATAGCAATCAGTCTGTCTGTGTGACTGGCCATCGAGTCCGTCCGATCGAACTTGCCCCTCTTCTTTTGGTCCGCCATCTTGAAATACTGTAACAGACGTAGGTGGCGCAGGCACGACAGAACGAGTAATTTACCCGTTCTCTTGGGAATTCCACGGCACGTGCGTGTGCAATATGTTGTAGTGCAATATGGAATATACTAAAATAAAACATAGCAACAACTATGTAAGCCTTGTTTCATCGTAAAGAAATTTTATAATATCTCTAACTTTTCTTGTAGGCTGCTTAACAACGCTAATTTTCGGTGTACACCAATCTTCATTGAAAGGTTACACGTCAAAATGCATAATAACAATTTCTTTATTTGTACTTGGTATTATATCAATAACTGGCATCTACTACAAATCTAAGATATTTCAGTTGAAACCAGTCTTTCAAATGTTTAAACACTGGATTTTTATTGAAAGTCAAAACACGTTATTTTAAGCAAATACTAGCCTCAACATTATTCAATCAATCATAATTTTTTTCAATAATATTCAATTTTTTTTTATTTTTTTTTTTTTTGTAATGTATCAATGATTGTCCGTTAAATAGTGTGCGTTTACGAAAGGTATGAGATAGAAATTAAAGAAAAATAAACGCTGAGTAACTGCTTGTACATGGAAGTCAGTGCCTCCCATGTCCTATATAAAATGGAAATGG